CCTGGGTCCTGTCGAGTGCGTGATCAGTGTGCGGGTGTTTGTGAGCGTTCGTGCACGCCCCGTCCTCAGTTTTGTGCATCCTACGTCTGCGCCACCTGTTTTCCTGAGACAGTCAGCGGAGACGGGGCGGTCCCCTCCCGTCCCCAATGAGGGGCGCGGGGGAGGGAAATTAATCCTGCGCTCCCCCCGCCGTTGTTAACGTGGTGGTTTGGGCTGGGCGGGGGGCAGCGGCGGGTCTAGCCAGCTGCTGCGTAGTGTTTATGACGACCGGTGTGGCCTGTTGAGCCAGCCTGTTTGTAAGGGGGGCCAGGGACCAAAAATCGGGCTGAGGCTTAGGTGAATTTGGGCTGGTGTCAGTGCGTGCCTTTTCCAGAGGCGCCCTAAATGCCGAGGCCCTTCGATTGCAGACTTTTTCCAAATTTTACAAAATCAATACATTCTAGCCGATCCTGGCGTTCTCAGTAATACCTGACGGCTCATTCAGTGTTTTATGGCGTACACATAAATTATGTCTCTTGATTCTGCCCAACATCCTGGCGAGGGAAACAAGATACATGTTTTACAGATTTTACATCTCCTCCGGGAGCAGCTTCCTCATAGTTACAGCTCTAGCTAGGACATTTTTTTATTATAAGAAATTTGCATTTTATCCTAAGGGAAATGGGACGCACAGGGAAAGAAACTTCAAATCCATTAGGGACCTAACTACTATTGTGCAAAGGTTCGTGTTCTGCACTGAAGGGCTGCATTTGGGTGTGTTTCTCTGTTCTTTTGCTTGATTGTCTTATTCTTGCCTAATTTTTCTTTTTAATTTCTGGCATATTTCATATATGCAATACTAAGGGGAATCTAACCAATCCATGACTCAGATTTACAGATGTAATAATTTTGTCAAATTTACTTCAGATCCTTTTTTTCTTTAAAGAAATAAAATTTTAGGTATTGGAGGTGGTCTCAGTTCCTCCCCCTCCTTCCCTAGAGGTAGCCACCATGTTTAGGTTTGTGTATATCATTCCCTTGCATATTTTATATTTGGATGACAGTGAACCTATAATCATGTAGTGTTGTGTTGTAAAACTTTAATGGTATGAAAAAATGTCTTTTTGCAACTTGCTTTTTTTGAAAAAGCATTACATTTTGATACTGATAAATAAATTGGAAAATTGTGTTATCTTTGGTTTGTTCATTTTAATTGCTGGTATAGAATACCATTGTATGAATATACCATTATTTATTGATCCATTTCTCTATTGATGGACTTTGAGGTTGTTTCTGGTTTTTGACTCTAAAAACAAACCCGCAATAAACATCTTTGTACTTGTTTGCTTGTGCACAAATTTGGAAATTTCTCTAGGAAATACACCCAGTAGTAGATTTGCTGGATAGTAGGATATGTGCATCTTCAACTTAAACAAGTATCACAAGCTCTCAAAATGGTTGTACTAATTTTGACTCTATCACTGGTATTGAGTGAGGACATTCATTTTCTCACATCCTTGCTAACAGTTTATGTTATCAGACTTTTACATTTTTGCTTTCTTTTTACTGATCAGCTTCCTTATAACTTTGGCTTTATGCTAAATTTGGCTTTTGCTCTAGTCGGGTGTCAGCCTATGGGGCTTATCTCTCACAACTAACTGGCTCATGTGATCCTTATAAGATTAATCACAATAAACATTTATTTTGTACCTAATGTATGTCAGTTCCTGTGGTTGATGTAAAGGTAGTAATTTCCATGATATATGTACCTCTCTAGTGGCAGGTGAGGTGATTTAATGAAATACTTTTTTTATATGATCAATTGTTTTTAGAAATCTTTTTTTTTATTTAATGTAATATTTGATAAATTCAAAATATATGTAACCTATTTAAGTTGTGAAGCAAAACAATAAAATGAATACCTCTTAAGCCACTCATTCCAAGAAACAAAATGACCAGCATTGAATGTGCTCACCTCCAGAGTGACTACTCTCCTGAATTGTGTGTCATTCATTGCTTTTTGAAAATAATTTTATCAGATATGTATACATCCCTCAACAATGTATGATTTCTGATGTTTTTGAGTTAAAAAAAGAGACTACTGGATACAGTTTACCTGGACTTGCTTATTTCACTCAATGTTATGTTTCTAAGGGTCACTGGTACCAAGTATAGATTTAAATCTTTAATTTTCTTTGCTGTGTAATATTCCAAGGGTGAATATAACACAGTGTATGCATTCTTCTGTTGATGGACATTTTGGTTCTAGTTTTGCTATTAATGAAGATTCTCGTACATATCTTCTGATACACAGTATGCAAGAATTTCTCTAATTTTCCCACTGGGTATATTACTCCCAGGGGAATGATGAAGATTTTCCTAGGGATTACAAGTGATGTTTATGAATCAGCTTACAGATAAAAGTTTCATGTGTAGTCTTCCAAAATTGGTAATGCTTGAGGCCCATCATAGAGGCCTCCCTCCTTCTAGTTCTAGTTTTCCACCTTCCCTTTCACAGTAGCACACTTCTACCTTAGATAAGGAAGGCATACCACTCACTCACATGGAATCTTCCTAGGACATTGCCTCAAGTGGGAAAACTCCACAGAAAACAAAGGGGACAATTTAAAATACAATGTTTAATATTAGGGAAATCTTTCAATTCAGACACTTCCCATCTCAAGAACGGCATTCCAAAAATATTTAACTTTATATTTAATTGTCAGTATATATAATTTTAAAAAATCAAATCTGCTATAATAATTATAACAATTTAAACCAATGATAATGTCACTTATTTTAAAATGTCACTGTGATACTCCAGAAATTCATCCTTTGCAATTATTTAAATTTAGGCTAAAATTCAGTGTATTTTAAAGGGTGAAGAGTATGTAATTTTTACAAGCATCTCGGTGATGTCAGTAAAAAGGGTTGGATTAACCGCTGGTAAGCTATTTGCTAGAAGTAGAATTGCTGGGTTATGGGTTATGAATGTTCAACTTACAAAATGATACCAAATTGTTTTCTGAAGTGTTTGTACCAGCTTATACTTTGGCCAGCAGTTTTGTCAAATTACATACTTTGATTAGCAGTGTGTAAGAGTTCTAGTGGATCTATATCCTCTCCAACACTTGTTATTGTCAGACTTAATTGCCAATCAAATGGGTATGAAGTGATGTATCTTTGTGGTTTTACTTTGCATTTCTCTGATTGTTAATGAGTTTGAGCAGCTTTTCATATGTTTATGAACCTTCTGATTTCCTTTTGTGAAATATCTGGCATATCTCTTACCCATTTTTCTGTTTGGTTGACTTTTAAAATTAATAAACTGTAACACTAGTCCTTTATTGATTATATGCACTGTAAATATCTTCTGTGGCCTGTCTTTTCATTCTTTATGGTGTGTTCTGGTGAACAGAAGTTCTTAATGTAATCTAATTGGAAACTTTTTCTAGCCCTGGAATTGTAGAGACATTCTCCTGTTTTTTTAAAGAAGTTTTAAAATGGTACCTTCCACATTTCAGTTCATAATCCATCTGGTATTGGTTTTTGTGTATGGTGTAGGGCAGTGATGCACATTTCATCCCCCGCCCCCCCCCAGTGGCTACCGTTGTCCTCATACCATCTATTGAAATGACCCTCTGCTCACCAGTGATCTGCTGAACCACCTCTTTTTCATGTTTACTCTCTCTGTGCATGGGTTTGTTTCTGTCTCGCCTTTCTGTGCCACTTGTCCACTTTTCTATCTCTGTGTTGGTACCACTGCCATAATTATTAATGCTATAGCTTACCAGAAATCTTGGTATCTGGGGGGAACTTGAGTCTCAGCTGTTCTTGGATCTTTGTTCTTGTTTTAAGAATCAGCTTGTCACATGACATGAAAAACTCTTTGGGAATGAATTGGAATTGATTAAATCTGTTTGGGGGAGAATTGAAATCTTTAAGATTTTGAACCTTCCTGTCTGAGGATCTGGTATGTATTTCTATTTATTTAGGTTTTTTAATGTCTCTTGATAGAGTTTTGTAATTTTTTCCATACACATCTAAAATTTTTAAAATGTTGATTCCAATGTTTCTAGTAGTTTTGTTGCTATTATAAATGGTATTGTTTTTTAAAATTCTGTTTCCTGACTATTGTTCGTAAATAGAAATTTAATGAATTTTTAAATATTGATCTTATCCATCCACTTGATAAACTCTTATTATTTCTAATATATTTTCTGTAATCCTGGTTTATAAATTACATTATTTATAAATGGTCACACTTTTGGTTCTTTCAATTTTTCCTTTTTTCCCTTAATATGCTGGCATGCTTTTAGATATAAGCTCAATGAAAGTGGTTATGGTTTATTAGGAAGTGATGATAGTGGACATACATGTCTCATTTCTGGTTTTAAAGCGAATGTTACCTCATTAAAACTAATGTTTGTTACCAGTTTTTATAATCTTTATTAAGTTTGGGAAGTCTGTGATTTTTGTCACATGCTTTTCTGCATCTGTTGAGAATATCTT